TCTCCCATCCAGGTTCTGATCTCACATGCACAACTTCCAGAGCTTTCTGGTCACACACTGCAGCTTGTGAGGCTGTGCTGAGTTCTCAGCACTTTCTGCTACATGCAGTAAGGAGCAGCAACACTGAGGGAAGTATCTCTGCAGCTCATGCTTGTGCAGCCAAGAGATGTGTCCTCTACACCTGTGACATGAGCTTCCCAGCCTGGTGCCCAGGACAGCAGCTGTGACAGGGACCCATGGGCATCAGGACAGGGAGGACAATGAAGGACAAGAGCTATGGATAGCAGGGACCATCACCCTCCTGAAACCACTCTGGAGCTATCCAAACAGAGGGAGAGGCCTCCCAAAATGTCAAGCAGTCACCTTCAGGGAAGGCAGTTCTGTTTGGTCAGATATGCATTGTTTCAGACCTTCCTCAATGACTGACTATGAATTCTGTTTCTTGCTCTGAAAAAAGGAAACAGCATCTTTTGTTTGCTTGACCCTGAAAGGCAGAGGAAGTTGAAGACTTTATTTATTCAACCCTAAGACATGGGAACTTACAGACCATTGTCACTTCCCAAAGAGCTTTTGTTTTTATTTTCCTCCTCAGCCTGTGTGGGTTCTGTTTGCAGTACAGATTTTTCACAGACAGTTTGCTACCAGCCTGGGACATCTGTGACTTGCCTGCACATGGCTGTCAGCTGAAAGGAGGTTCTTTGTAGCTGCATGCAAATAATCATGCTGCTTGATGGCAGAAATCGCTGCAGTTTTGATCAAAAAGTCTTACCACTAGATTTGCTTTCCACCTCTTTAATTAGAACCTGTATTATTTCAGAGCATTTTGAAGTCTGTTACATCAGTATGATGATGGATGGCAAGAAGGAAAGCTGATGGAACTGGTCAGGAATCAGAAGTTGGCCAACACAACAGAGCACATGGACTCTGCTGAAGTCACCACTCCATTCCATTTCTGCCTTTGGGAGATTATTTTGCTGTTGGATTTCATGGCAGAAAGCAACCCCTAGGAGAAGAGGGCTCTTTAAGAACCCAGAAACACAGAGGTTATCAAGGGTCAGGCACACAGACAGCTTTCTCAAAGGCAGACTGGGCTACATCAGACTAAGGATCTATCCAGAACATTTGTAAAAAATTCAAAACTCTCTCTGTCACAGCGAATTCCAAGAAAATGAGCCTTAGATTTCACCAGGGCTTTCTCATCAGGTCTCTCACTTTTGTTTTGGCCTAGAGCACAGACACCAATCCTCAGTTTAACGAGAATGAATGATGGAAAGACTCTCATGCAGGGAACTGTTTTGCACAGGGATCCTAAGAAGAACAAAGGCCTTTTTGGTCTTTGTGCTGCTGCTGAGGCCACCAGTACTGCTGGTGAGTCCACACCTGCACAGACACTTGGACTGCTCCTACTAAGAGCAAGTGCAAGCTGTGAGAGCTCCTCACCTAATCCCAGGGAGCTGCAGACACAGCAGCCTTGTGCTCAGGGTGGGGAGAGTGCTCAGCTATGCTGCTCTCTATAGGTTACTTGGATCCAAAGTAACCCACTGCAGCTAAATAAATAGAGGGCTAATGGCAGATGGTTCCACTTAAACTTCAAGAAAGGCACCGCCTATATGTCAGTTTGGAATTGGTGTAATGAGCCAACAACATTCTGAACTACAATAAAAGCAAATTTAGGAATGAAACCTACTGGAGACTTAACTGGTCTCAAGTGCATAGTTAGATTTCTAAAATAATAGCTGCAATCCAGCATAACAAACATGACTTGCTTGAAAACAAAAGCCTGAGTTTAACTGTAGATTGCAGTTCGTTTTCATTCCCATGAGAAACTGCAAGATATTTCTTCTAGGAGTTACTTCTCAGGAAGGCACACCAATGGTGCCTCCAAAACCACCTAGAGTGGGACTAGGACTCCTCAGTTCTGCTTTTTTCCTTCCAGGCTTCCAGTGCTGAGGTCCTGAGGTACCACCAGGCAGATTTTCTGTGAGTATTGCACATGTTCACAACTGCTGGGCAGGAATGGAATTGGGCATGGCTGGCTGCAGGGCCAAGGGCAGAGCTGTACCACAGGGTACAGCAGGGACATGGGACATGGGACAAGGGCTGCCAGAGCATCTGGGGAGCCAGGAAAGGAAGAGCTGCCACCAATCATTGGCTCTGAATTGGGGGATGGCCCTGCAAGCTTGGAAAGGGGACATGACTGGGGGGGAAAGAAGGAAAAGGGAGTAAGAGGTGGAGGAATAACATGTACCAATGTATAACAAGCTCCTATACTTAAAAAAGATTAACCATATTTAACATATTAAACATATTTAAATAGGCAAATATGCTCCTGTGCACCTGCACAGTGAGGATCTGGCTCTATCCTAATGCTCTCTGAGGGGCATGGGTGATTCAGGCTGACTGTGAGAAGGAGCACATGGCACAGTGTTAAAAGGTAATGGCTATTTTTACTCTTTTCCAGCACAGAGAAACTGAATACCTCAAAGCAAGTTTTTATCTGGAAAATTAACACCAAACTGCTATTGCCTTGTACCAGATCTTCTTTTAAACTCCCATTTTATTGACTGCACACAAGTGCATGTGCACATCGATTACAAGATTGTCTGTTGACATTTGCCACTACCTCACAGCACAAGGACTGCCACTTTTCCTCCCAGAAAAACTCTTCAGGCTGTAACCTTGGCTCTGCTTTGTACACTGGTGAAAACTGCCAGTTCAGTCCTGCAGGGCCACGTCAGGAGCCAGCATGCAGAGCCATTCAGGACAGCAGTGGACAGCTCATTCCACTCATTGTCCATACCTGTTCTCTGTCCCTGCAGCCATGGGGGAATGGCTCAAGCAAGCTAAAGGCAGTCTCTAGTGGACCTTAGAAGGCACCAGAACGATCAAAGTGTGACCAGAAAAGGGTGACTGCCCTGCTGGGAAAGGACTGTCCAAGTATTTCAGAGGGTTGGTTCTCAACTGCCCTGTCAGGTATTTCATCTTTGGAAACTACCATGGGTAGGCTTTAGTACACAGAAAAAGACCCTGCAGAATCAAGTGATGGAGGTCTGAAAAAGCTTAAAAACAAAGCTCCCCTCACTTGCTTTCCTGCCATCTCCTCTGCCAGGGCTGTGACAGTAAAAAGGAAGGGCAAGGAAGTGGCAGTAGAAAAGTCTCCCCTCGCACAGAGATCTGGCTGAGGCACAAGGAAAGAGGGGACAAGTTCTTTCACTGAAAGCTTTCCCAATTTCTCCAAAGGAGACTCGTCCTTCTCCAGCAGCCAACTCTCTGCAGGTGCACAGAGAATGAAGGTGGGCTTAAAAGAACAGCTGGGAGGAAAGCTTTTTTTTGTCAGCTAACTCCAGATGCTCGTGCAGATCATCTCCAGTCCCCTCGGAGGCAGAATAGGGTGGAGAAGCAAAGTTCTCAAAGGACAGAAATGGGTTCTTCTCCAGGCAGAACATTTTAGGGAATCATTTCCTATAGGTTACCAGTAGTAAAATTAAAAATCAAGCCAAGTTACCTACTGGCCCTCGTGTGTCTTGTAACTTTTCTCCCAACACCTGGCTGGGTGTTTGATGCTGTTGTTTACTTAATGCTATTCTCGTGTCTCATCTGTTTCGACATCTCTGCCCAAATCCCTGGACATTTTTTTTTTTTATTTCCTGGATTATGCTGATGTTCCAAAGAAAAAATCCCGAAGAACTGATGAAAATATAATTTCACAATGTTTCATTATTTATGGATAGGATTTGTCACTGGAGCCTGATGCGCATTTTCCAAATTATATTTACTCCAACAAATGAAAAGTTATTTCAAGTAAAAACAGGACTCACTAAAACGTTAAGAAGAAATAATTTGTAATTTAGAAATAGTGTTTGTACTTCACTGATAAAGTGCCCACTTGCATGTGATAATTCAGGTCAGCCAGAAAAGGATTTTTGTAATAGACATAAAAAGGGAGTTTCAGGCAGATAAATGCCAAAAATAATTCTGATACATCTAATAAAAATTCCCCTAGGATCGTTGTACAGATTATCACACTCAGCTGTACTGCATGGGAAAGTGCAATTATCAAAATGCCGAAAGCCTGAACTGATTCTTTTTTTCTTAGTTTATGGAAATTCGCATCAGCAGATAATGCTTTCGGTATGCTGGGATTTAACAATAACATTCGGGTTTATGATTCACATGCACTGTAAAACACAGATGTTTTAAAAAAGCATTACGTGCACAGTTGCTCAGAAAGTAAAGTTTACACTGCTCCAGGGTTCTCAATGCATTTGATGAGGGTGACAGTGACCCTGTGTCCCTAACTTGGCAATTCCTCCCCCTGTGAATCCAGGATACATTTGTGCAGGTCATGTCCTGTCTCTCATGTGGGGCTGAAATGCTGACCCAGAACATTTCTGTGCACTAATAAGCCCGTGCCCCAGTGCAAAGCTGTTTTCTCTGCTGTCCTGCAGCACTGAAATGTGATGATTATTAATCCTGAGCAGGCAGTGCTGAGAGGTCCCACTCACACTGAGTGTTGTATAACAGCGTGGTAAACAGCTGGGGAGGGCCAGGGAAGGCACTCAGCATCCCAACAAACCAGCAGGGCCAAGGAATTTGCCCTGCTAAGCAGGCGTAGGAGGAACCCAAACGAGGAGATGAGGACAATCCCCACGGGCCACTAAGCCAGAGAAGTTCAGTGCCATCCATGTAACCCTTAACCAGCTGGGTACAAACCACCAGGACTCGATGGCACCTCCCTGTCCCTGATGGAGCCAGAATGCACAACCCCTGGCCAAGTGCCACCTCTCCCCACAGTCTGGGTGACCAAGCACACGGGATTTGCCAGTGCTCCTGTTCCAACAGAGACCCTGGCAGCCAAACCCCAGTAATGATGAGTTTGACTTCTTCTGCAAAAGCTGTAATGACAGACACTTGGCCCAAGCTTGCTTTCCATGTACGAGTCAGGCACATCTCTTTGAAACTGCTCTCTCTCACAGTTCCCTTTCTTCTCTTGCACTTACCATTGATGTTTACAGCTGGCAGCACTATAGACATCTTTGGTCTCCTGGTCTTGTTGTGTGTGGTGGCTGGCAGTAACAGGTGGTCCTGGAAAAGAGCAGAGAAGATGTGTTAAATCTGCTCTCACAACAGTTAAATCTGTTTCTCAGAGAGCTGGGAAAATGCCTCTCCATTCTCTCTTACTGGCATTCCACACTGAACTGTTTACAACAGCTCAGAAAATTCATATTGCTGAGGGAGTCTTCCAAAAGTCACAGCAATTGCTCACGCTGTGTAACCAAGAAGAAATCCCTGTTGCATGCAGCAGAATATGAAAAAGCCTTGATCATGTGGAAAGAGATGGAAACTACTATTAAGCCCTCATTCAACAGAGTGCTTATGTATATGATTAAAGTAATTTAACTTGACTTCAGTGATATTTAAACATATGGTTAAGGACCTTGCTGAATTGAAGCTTTTACTTGCACAGCTGTTTACTTTCTATATAAGTTGTCTTGCTGTCTCAGTGAAGCTCTGCACCACACACCTTGAGCAGCAGGACTGCATTTAAAAGCTCTGGTCCAGGCATCTCCCATATTATGAAGCCAGTCTGATGCTCTCCTTTCAAGCTTTCCCAAGCTTTTCCCATAAAAACATCTCATACTTTTGGGCAAGGTTATCTTTTTGGCAAACTGAATTAGATTTCCTTCAGGACACGTTAATTTATTAATGTCAGGCTAACTGAAATTCTGCCATTTGAAAATATAAACACTACAGTGTTATGTGTAAGATTTGGGGAACTGAGTTACACACAAAGTTAAGTGTTAAATATATCAAGATTTTCTGTAGATACTTTGCAGAAATATCACTTTTTTTCTCCTTTTTTCCCATCAAAAATTTTTCCCCCTAAAACACCAAATGACTGACCATGAGAAGAAAACATTACTTAAATAAATGTCTGCAAAAAACATCTTGGTACCAAAATTATAAAACCACTCTGGTATAATTCTCAGATCACATATGCAATTCCCATTTCACTTTTGAACCACTTAAGATTAAGACAACATTCACTAAGACAATGAACATTACATAAAAACTGCTCTTGAAACCCAACGTTCCCAAAGGAACAGGCCAAAGATAAGATGTCCATTAAATTACATTTTCTAAGAGTGCCCTTGCCATGATTTGATGACTATTTTTAGCAGAGCTTAAAAATGCTTATGCTTTGGATTTTTTTTCTTTTTCAATGCTTCTGAGAGTCCATCATTACCTACCAAACCACAAGCACTGCTCAGATGATCACCTGAGAGTCATTACAAGTAGCAACTGCTCTTTGCTAACCTACCTGAAGACTGGAGCATTAATTTATGCTGCCTTATAATGGCACCTCTATTTACTGGATGTATAAATTGCATTAAGAGCTACCACAAGGACTTTACAGTTGCATTCAGACGTGTTTTGGAGCTGCTGCAGGAGATCCCAATGATCCAACACCAACTCTGGAGAACACAGGCCAACAAAAAGCTCTAAACCCAGACTGCCACCAGGAGCTAATGTGCAAGATGCACACATTGGCTGGAAGCTGCCCAAGTATGAAGAGACATTTTATAGACCTGGAATTGGTGAAATTTATCCATCTCTCTAATCATCTTTATCCTTCATATGCATTGTGCATATCAGTGCAAACCTGCAGGGTTACCTAACTACCCTCATTCTTCACTGAAGTTGAAGGGTATGCTGTAGAATATCAGATATTTTGACCACAGTTAGCACCCACAACTTTCTCAGGCCCAAAAGTCTTCAAGTAGTCCAAACCTTTTATTTGAAAGCAGTACATAATTAATTCTGTGCCACAGAAATGAGTGTACAGATTAATGATTTGGAAGATATCAGACATTTAGAAGCTCTAACATGTCCTGTGACATTCTGAAGGATGCTGAACTGCATCCCAGAGGGGGCTGTGACACTGTCACTCATCTCTAATTTTAAACAGTAGACAAAAAAAAATCTAAATTAAAATACTGTTTACTGTGATATTAACACATGGCATAAAACTGAAAATGAATAAAAGCAAATTTTGCAAGTCAGCATCTGGCTCAGGAACATGAGTGTCAACCAGAGGCAGAATAAATCAGAACTATTACCCAACAACAGATGGCCTTGGTTTGGAGCAGGAGCTGCACTTAAAATGACAGTTTAAACAGACAAAGCAGACCTGAGACTGCTGGCAGAATGACTGGAAAAATATCAGCCTGGAAAGAACATTCCAAATGAGACCCTTGCTTCAGCATTCTCATTTTGCTTTTGATCATCTGTGCAGTTGTGTGATACTGCAGCCAGATGAGATGGACAGACAGATCAATACAGACACACAGATACTGCCTTACCTCAATTCAGCAAGTCCCAACAACACATGGGACTGCCAGAAGGATTCTGAGATTTTTTGCATATCAGATCAGTGTTATCAGGGCTCTAGCAGGGATAAAGCTTGAGAGCCTCATGTATCTCTAACCCTACAGCCAAATGGCAATGGAAATCCTGTTCCACTGTGCTAGAATATTCCCAAAGTCCTGCTCCTCCTGCAGCTTCAGCCTCAGTCTCATGACATGTGGTTTGTACCCAAAGTCCCTCCCACCTAGATGCATGAAAATATGGAAACATTTTAGCTTGCATTTCCATTTTTTTGTTAAAAAATTGGTTTTAACTCTCACAGTTTTAAGGATGTAAACAAAACATCACCACTTCTTACCATGAGGTTTCATTAAACAGAAAAAAATGCTAGTCATGGCTCTTTTTGATTTCATTTTGTTTCTTAAACTATCACCATCACTTCTAAGCTGGACTCTTGGCTTTTAAATTAACAAACTGGCCATATTATATTGCCTGTTTTGGCTTTTGCAATGCACCTCCTCCATCCCTGCTTCACTGTGTGACAGAAACACACAGGAATTAACCCTCACAGTGTGCCCACGATGGAGGAAAACACTGCAGGCAATGTTTGGAGGAGAGGGGCACACATTTGGGGGAAGCCTGTGTGACAGGGACACAAAGGACACAAAGGAGAGGATTTCCATCCCAGCAAGGCTCTGCACTCCCAGCAGGAGCTGTCCTTTCTCTGTCCCAGGGGTTTCTGTCTGTCAAATCAATTCCCTCCGATTTTTCTTACCTTCTCAGCTGTTGTGCTTAGGTATGGAGAAGTGTTTTTCAAAGGGCTTTTCTGAGGTCCTAATTAAGGACACTTGACTGAGATGTGCTTTGCTGGAGCACACTCAGCACATCTCCCTGTGTGCACCCTGCTGGTCCTGCCCAGCCTCAGAGCCTTCCCAGGGCTTGGAGCACAGACCCTGCCAAGCACAGATGTGATCCATGGAGCCAGGGCTCAGGAAAACAGCCCCCAGCCCACAAAGACTTTGTCAGGATGTCCCAATGAACCCTGCTGCTCGTTACAAGATCCATCTCTGGCACACCAAGGATAACCTTTTGTAAAAACAAGTGACATTTGCTGCTTTACAGCAATAACAGCTCCGAGGAGACTGGATTAAAATACCAAAGGAAAACTTTAATGTGCTGTTCTGGTAATTTGCCTTGATGAGGAGATTTGATCTTTCCCATTGCCTTGGAGACCAGCTCCGTGCTAAACTATTGCAACCAACAAAGGCAGCTGCCAGAGCAGAGGGGGCAGCAGGAGCCAGGAGTGCCAAAGGGCACTCTGTCTGTCCAGCAGCTTCCCAGGGCTTCTCACAGCAAACAAACACTGCAGCTGGGCATTTCTTCATCTCTGTTTATGACTAAGAAGTCTCCCAGGGAACTGTGTGCCTCAACCTCTTCCAGGCTCAATCTTCCTGCTGTGGTTGCAGGACCACACCACAGCTGCTGCTGCCCCTCATCTCACTGTTCTTCTTTCATGGCACAACTCCTGGCAGTGCTCAAAACCTCCTGACAGCTTAAAAACCTTATCTGTTTATCTGACCACACCTAGTGAGTGATCTCAAGATGGAGCAGACAGAAAACAAGTGTGCTTTTCTGATCATACAAAAATTGTGCCATCAAACCCATGCACGGTCTTTCAACTCTTTTTTTTCTCAACATCTTCAGGATTTTGAGTCTGACATGACACTGAACCTTCTTTCCAGGTGTGCTTCTGACAACAGAAAGAATGTGCAATAAAAATGTGCTCTCCCAGGCCCAAAATACTGCATGTCACTTCAGAGTACAAATACTCCAAGAAGCTAGACTTCTTAAACCCCTGAGTTGACAGAACCCTTGAGCCAACATTTTTTTTTCCACAAACCACAGATTTCACACTTTTAAAAAATGTCAGGATCGTTGTTTCAGGCTTTTTGCTGTTGCCAGAGGTGTGATGTGTCTGTCCTGTTCTCCTACCCAGGGCACTGACCTGGCCCTGAGCAGCATCCCAGCCTTTGGCACACAACTGCTGGCCAAGCGATGCTACCTGAAAACTCCATTCCCAGGAATGCAGGGCTGGATGCCAGCAGCTCTCTGAATTCAAAAGGAGCTGTTCCCTAGGGAGGAGAACTCACCAATGCACACTCAGAGCCAAGGGCTGATCCTCACCTACCCCAGCAGCTCCCAAAGCACAGATCAGGATGGAAATGGGAGCCAGGCCTCTGCCAGCTCAAAAAGGATGTGCATGCAAGTTTACAAATTTGTAGAGGAAATGGCTGTGTAATTTCATTATTGATTCTTTTGGGGGATGGCAACCACATGGTGCCCTGAGGTTACACCACACTGGCTGCAGCACTGGTCCGTCTGAAAATGCCAAAGTTCCTGGAACACTGCCTTCAACACCAGTGGATGTTAAACAGGGTAGAAATGCAGAGGGGAGGCTGCCTCTGGGAACATTTCTGACCCTTATATCTGAAAAGCAGGGGGTTGTTTTTGAGACTAGAAAAAGAAAAAAAAGAGAGGAAACCAATTGAAACCTCTACACAAACTGTGACTCATAGCCACCACTCCTGCTCATCATACCAGGAACTCAGTAAAGCTTGTTTTTAAAGTTGGTGTGCTGAGGTTTTTTTGTTTGGTTGGTTTCTGAGGCTTTTGTTCAAGGCAGACCTTAGAAATCCAAGGAGATTTACCTACGTCAT